AGATGGACCTCATGGTCCCTTCCAGAGGAGGAGCAGACATGAGACAACACAACCACTAGGAAGTCATTGCTGCAGCACAGATTGAAAAGACCATGCCTGGCAGTGACTTTCAGTGGAGACTACATATTTCCGGTTCCTTTCCAGAGAGTGCTGGTGAGGGCACTCACTAGGTGACTGCTCCCGGACCCTTTGAACTTCTACCTTTGCTAAGCTTGTTTTTCTACACTGTGCTTTATTAGACAAAACCATATGAAAACCAACTGGTGCTCGGTGATGATTTAATATCAGAGCTCGCAGAGGACTGGTGAGGAGGGCCGTGGCTGCTGTTGTGTCTCCTCCTGTGTGGTTCAAGCTTCCGATGGTGTGGGAAGCTCCAGCTCCTCTGGTCCAAGGACTCCACACTGCAGACTTCCGAGCAGCTGAAGATGTCTGCAAGAAAGACACAGGAGCAGGGGTCAGTGGGGGGACAGGGATGCAGCAGGGGTGTGGGCAGTGGGGTGGGAGTACAGCACTCACAGGGCTCCTGATCTCAGGATCTCCTGAACTCAGCAGCAGTCAGGGTCCTGGTCACTGAGGCCCATTTGCTAGGGCGAATTCCCCCAGGCATTCATGGGACAGCCTTTAGGGAGGAGACCCCTTAAACTGTGAACTTGATGCACAGGAAAGGGCAAGTCTCTCGGGCCCTGGGATCTCTCTCTCTCTCTCCCCCTCTCTCTCTCTCTCTCTCTCTCTCTCATTTACTAAATATAAATTTCCAAAGTACAACTTTAGGATTGTAGCGGCTTTTTTCCCCCATAAACTCCTTCCCACCGCAACCATCCTATCTCCCACTCCCTCTCCCATCCCACTCACATCAAGATCATTTTCAATTATCTTTATATACAGAAGATCAGTTTAGTATACACTAAGTAAAGATTTCAACATTTTGCACCCACACAGAAACACAAAGTATAGAGCACTGTTTGAGTACCAGTTATACCGTTAATTCACATGGCACAACACATTAAGGACAGAGATCTGACATGACGAGTAAGTGCACAGTGACACCTGTTGTTGGTTTAACAATTGACACTCTTATTTATGATGTCAGTAATCACCCGAGGCTCTTGTCATGAGCTGCCAACGCTATGGAATCCTATTTTTTTTTTGTACAGGTAGAGTTAGACAGTGATTGAGAGAGACAGAGAGAAAGGTCTTCCTTCCATTGGTTACCCCCCAAAATGGGTGCTATGGCCAATGTGCTGCAGCCGGCTTGTTGTGCCGATCCTAAGCCAGGAGCCAACTTCCTCCTGGTCTCCCATGTGGGTGCAGGGCCCAAGCATTTGGGACATCCTCCACTGCCTTCCCAGGCCACAGCAGAGAGCTGCACTGAAAGCAGCAACTGGGACAGAATCCAGTGCGGCAACCGGGACTAGAACCTGGGGTCCCAGTGCTACAGCAGAGGATTAGCCTAGTGAGCCACGGCGCTGGCCTGGGAGCCTCTTGAGTTTGCCAACTCCCATTGGTTTAGACAAGGCCATAGTCAAAGTGGAAGTTCTCTCCTCCCTTCAGAGAAAGGTACCTCTTTCTTTGATGGCCTGTTCTTTCCGCTGGGATCTCGCTCACAGAGATCTTTCATTTAGGTCATTTGTTTTTTCCCTGAGTGTCTTGGCTTTCCATGCCTAAAATACTCTCATGGGCTCTTCAGCCAGATCCGAATGCCTTAAGGGCTGAACTGAGGCCAAAGCGCTGTTTAAAACATCTGCCATTCTGTGAGTCTGCTGTGTATCCCGCTTCTCATGTTGGATCGTTCTCTCCCTTTTTTATTCTATCAGTTTGTATTAGCAGACAATAGACTTGTTTATGTGTCCCTTTGACTCTTAATCCTATCATTATGATCAATTATGAACTGAAGCTGATCACTTTGACTAGTGAGATGGCATTGGTACATGCCACCTTGATGGGATTGAATTGGAATCGCCTGGTATGTTTCTAGCTCTACCATTAGGGGTAAGTCTGATTGTGCGTGTGCCAAACTGTACATCTCCTCCCTCTCTTATTCCCACTCTTAGATTTAATGGGGATCACTTTTCAGTTAAATTTCAACACTTTAGAATAATTGTGTGTTAATTAAGGAGTTCAACCAATGGTACTAAATAGAACAAAAAAAATACTAAAAGGAATAAAGTAGTAAGTTGTTCCTCGACAGTCAGGACAAGGGCTGATCAAGTCACTGTTTCTCATAGTGTCCATTTCACTTCAACAGGTTTCCTTTTAGGTGCTCAGTTAGTTGTCACCAATCAGGGAGAACGTATGATATTTGTCCCTTTGGGACTGGCTTATTTCACTCAGCTTGATATTTGCCAGATTCCTCCATTTTGTTGCAAATGACCAGATTTCATTTTTTTTTACTGCTGTATAGTATTCTATAGAGTACATGTCCCATAATTTCTTTATCCAGTCTACTGTTGATGGGCATTTAGGTCGATTCCATGTCTTAGCTATTGTGAATTGAGCTGCAATAAACATTGAGGTGCAGACAGCTCTTTTTTTGGCCAATTTAATATCCTTTGGGTAAATTCCAAGGAGAGGATTGGCTGGATTGTATGGTAGGGTTATATTCAGGTTTCTGAGGAATCTCCACACTGGCTTCCACAGAGGCTTTACTAGTTTGCATTCCCACCAACAGTGGGTTAGTGTCCCTTTTTCCCCACTTATTCAGCAGCATCTGTTTTTGGTAGATTTGTGTAAGTAAGCCGTTCTAACCTGGCCCTGGGATTAAAAAGCCAAGGCCTACTCCCCTGGGTCTGATGACACAGGGTGGGGCCGTGATCCTGCCCAGTCTGACCTCACCCTCAGGATCCAGGATCCAGCCTGTGACCCACATGTTAACTACAGACAACTTCCCCAGCTCATCGGTTTCCTTCCCTAATCCTGCAGAACTTCAGAAAAGAGATGAAAGAAGAAATCACTTACTCCCAGATCGCTGCTCCCGAGGGAATGTTCGGATGCAGCCACATAGCCTTCCATGTGCACCAGAGCAGGGGTGTTGAGGTTGCCAGAGAGAAGGAAAGGGGAGAGTTAGACTTGAGGTGAGGACTCGGATCCCTGCTGCTGGTTGGATGATGTAGGCCAACCTTGGACCCCATGTCTATATCCCTATCCCAGGGCCTAGATGGCTTCACCTCTGTAATAAGTGAGAGGATCTCTGAACTTTGCCTTCTTCTTCCTGCCTCAGATTCCCATCACTGTGCCTAAGAAGTGGCACCTTGTTCCTCCATAGGTAGCCACTGGGTCGATGTATGCAACTCATTGTTTTCCATCCTTCCTGTTTCCCTAAATCTATTTTGTCTCATAACTCTTGTCCATTTCCTTTGTCCTTGTCATCTTCTACCAATCATATTATTCTCTGATATGGGAGCTCTGGAGGCCAAGATAAAGATATACTGCCACCTGGGGCTGGCATTGTGGTGCAGCAGGTTCAAGCGCCACCTGTGGGGACCCCTCCATGGGATCACTGGTTGGTGTCCCTGCTCCTCCACTTCTGATCCAGCTACCTGCTAAAGTGCCTCAGAAAGCAGTGTAGGATGTCTCGTGCTTGGGCCCTGCCAGCTGTTTGGAAGACTCTGATGGAGTTTTGGACTCCTGATTTGGCCTGGCCCAACCTGCTCATTGAGGTTCTATGGGGACTGAGCCAGTGGATGGAAGATTTCTCTCTGATTTTCCCTCTTTGTCTATAACTCTGCCTTTCAAGTAGTAGATAAATCTTTAAAAAACATATTGCAACGCACAGCAATACATCTATAGATCACTTACATGGGGAACAAGTGTCATGGATGCTTGTTGGGCCTTGGAAAGGTAATGAGGGCCAACCCCATATGTCTGGGGTAACCTCATGGAGTTTGGAAATATTGAATCATCACAAGAATCCCATGTTTCCTGATCCACTTGAAAAGATGACCCCAAGAGGAGAGGAAATTTAATTTGTTCAAATTCTGGTAGTCGGCCAAGGAGGCAACAGGGTGTCCACAGCAGGTGTATTCTTGGCCATATCAATAAATGGGACTTGCTAGGGTTTTCACTGAGCAGTGGGAGGACTGGAAGTAGGACATTGGCAGGCCTGAGGACAGGGAACGTGCTAGGCATGACTGGAGGGGGAACAGGCTGTGTTTGAAGCAGTGCATCTGAGGGGAACAGTGATGCCCAGTCCTGCTGCCCAGAGGCCCTCCACTGAGCCCAGTGCATTCCAGCAGATGAGGTCAGCAGGACCGCGTGTGTGTCCAGCCCAGGATCCCCTAACACACATCCTCTGGGCAGCCTGTACAGCTATGCGGCGTCTCCAGTAGCATCTGGATAATGGCCTGTCACACAGTCTACTCCAAACACTAGACTTGGATGAGATGTGGAAGCCAAGATGAACCCAGAGTAATGCTTGGCCCTCACAACTCTAAGATGCTAGGGCCTCCCCAGTCAGCCCAGAGCAAGTATTCTTTAACTCAACTGACCCTGAGGGTGTGGGGGGTGGGTGCTCTTCTTCCTTCTGCCCTGAGCTGAGGATGAAGCAAGGAGCCCTTACTGAGACACAATGGCAGCACCTTGCTCTTTGACCTGCAACCTTGTAAGAAAGAAATTTCTGTTCCTGATTAATTACAGAATCTCAGGTATTACGTTGTGGCCAGAAATGGACGAAGACAATGGTCAGTGCAAAACCCAGACATCTCTTGTGTTCAATTCGAAGGTAGTGCTGTCCTGTCACAATGCAGTGGATTTGATCTTTGCAATGGCAAAGCCGGGGGTGGTCGGTATTAAAGAAAATGTAAAGTTTTAAATAGTAAAGCAAGAAATGATAAAAAGTTCTATTGCTCCAATCCCATGGGTATACAATCTCTTCCTACTCTATAATTAATATAAAAAAGAAAAATCAGACGTCTACATATTATGTCTTTTTTCCTCCCTGAGTTCCTATGTCCTCTCAGAGTCCAAAGCAGTGGATAACCCAAGCATTGCCCTAATTTGACCCTCTGGTCTTTGTGGGTGTTGCTCCTACCTGAAGAGACTTCATCCTCACTGTTATAGTCCGAAATGCTCTGCAAGACCCAATCTTGAGAGACACAAACACAGACAGTAAGTGTTCACAGAGAGTCTCACCCGTTCCTCCCCTGCATTGCTCAGCATGACCCTGCCCCTTCTCTGTGCTCTCAGCCCCTTCCTGGGCTCTGTGGACCTGACCTTCAGGCAGACATTGACCACAGCTTCAAGCCTTCCAGGGAGGGAGAGGAGCTGACGGCACCACCTCTCAACGTCTCACTTTCCCTAGTGCACTGAAATACGATGCTTCCAGCCTGCATCTGAAACCCCTCACTTTTTTATATACATATTCCTGTAACCATGCAGCAATACCTCTGTGATTTTTTTTTATAGAGAACTGATAGTGGCTTCAGAAGAACATAACTAGAGTAATACACACAAACTGCCAAACTTGTAGACTCAGAACTGTAATATATGGAAACCCACATAGATAAAGCCCACCCCCATGCACAAGCCAGTATCTTCCAGGGACCCCAGAAAATGATCATTACCCTGTATGAGGAAGTTAATTTCCCACCACCACACTCCTAGTCCTCTTTCATAGCAGGAATTGGGCGTTAGGTGGCCTTCCACACTAAAGCCCCCAAGATAGTCCCATCTGTGCTGTCATCTGGACTATTCATACTACAGGGAATAAGTGATTCCCGAATACATACCACTTGCTGTTCGTATTGAGATCACCTGTAATTAGAAAATGGCACCATGAGGGTCTGAACACTCTGTGTCCCTTTGCACCTGTCTTTAATGACCTTGGTGACACTGGGAAACCCCATGTGAAAGAGTGGTCCTATGGAGGGAACCCAAAGACGTGAGCAGAGCGATCACACTCAGGCCAGCAGGCACGAGCTCTTCATGGGGGACGTGTCTCTCCAGTCCACTGTGGTTGGAAGTCACAAAATTCCTTTCAAAAGAGGAGAAGTGCTGCAGAGAAAAGCTTGCTGTGGTCCAGTCCTGACAGTCATTTTGTCCCTGTGTCCTGCGTCAGCTCTCTGTTGGTGTAAACTCTCCCTCTCAGTGGCCCTCACCGTGCACAGGGTGTATCATGGACCCTATCCATGGTCAGATTTTTCTTCTCTTCATCTGGTTGAGAAAGGAAGAAGCCAAGGAAGGAACATTTCTGTTTTAGAGGAAGGCGGAGGCCCTTACCTCAGTATACTCTGGAGTTTCTTTATCCTCCGTGTCACCAGGAAGCTCCTCCCATGCATCCTCCAGGGGCACTAGACGGACATATGGTGACTGTCAGTACACTGGTGCATCAGGGAGCATTGGTGGACATGGGCATGGGGTGAGGGTTAAGGCCAAGGAAAAGAACGTGAAAGACCTGAGAAGCAGAGCCTTAAGCTTTCTAGCTCAAGGCAGCTTCATTCATGGGAACTATTTGGGGTCAATACCACCACAGTTGCTGTATTTCTGTAAGAGTCCTGGGACGACTCCTGCATGTTTAGAAGCCAAATAAACTGCTACTGTCGTCTTGATGTTTCCCAAGGTCACTACTACTCAGGGGTCAATATCTGTTTATTGTATTTGAATATGTCATCTCTCCTATGAGCTTCTGAACTTAATTAAAAGCAACCGTTAGTGGGAGAAGGACTCAGTTGTAGGCAAAGCAACATGTTCATTTATTGCCAATCCCTAGATACCACACAAGTAAATAAAGAAGATGTAAAAATGTTGAAATTCCACCATTTAAAAATGAGAACCAGGCATTATGGTAAAACTTTTCTCCTGATCCTATTGTTTTTATTACCATTATAAATGGTATCTTCATGGATCATAGCATAAGGATTCATTGTATGCAGACAGTGTGTGATGATCAAATCATGTTGACCTTTCCAGCTTCCTAAATATATTTTAAACTGTTTTCATTTGTATTAAATACTTTTGACATATGTTGGGAGTATGTTTCATATCCAGCTAAGCCATGGAATTGTGACCTAACCATCAGACACATGTGGGGTGAGGGTTGAATGAGCTCACTTACATAAAGTGTGGAGGGTGATCAGCTTCTTTTTTGTTTTTGTTTTTTTGAGAATTGAACCTTGAGCTGTGCATTTGGGAACACTTTTTCTGTGGTAAATATGTACACATATACACATCCAAGCACTTTCAAAGACATACACGCTCACTCATAAAAACTCACCATACTGGGGCACAGAAACCCCCACCATCTAAATGACATAGCTGTTTCCAGAGCCTGCCTTAGATGCCTGTAGCTATGTGCTAGTCTTTCTGGTTTTTGTTTTACCACACCCTCAATCTTTTTAATCCACCAGGAAGCTGGAATCAGGTTGGCTCTCCAGAAGAGAACCGGCAGGACGGTCCCAGTGTCTCATCCCTTCAGTTGTTCCTCAGCACCTGAGGCATTCTAGAATACGTACAGTGTCCACTGGATCCTGAGTCCACCTGCAGTCAGAGAAAGGAAGTCACTGTGAGATCAGATACTGTTTGTACAGGTCTCTCCTCCTGGTGCTGACCTTGGGAAACTTGATGGGATACAGTGCATGAGGCAAATGCCCTAAATAAAGCACAGAGGATACTTGTGTGAAATACGTGAGCTTTTCACAGCCCATTTTATGTGTTCATTTTGGTGGGCAAATGCAACATTCATTTGTGAAAATGAAAACCTGGGGGTTGGCCTTGTGGCACACTGGGTTAGGCTGCCCCCTGTGAGGCAAGCATCCCATATCAGAGCACCAAATCAAGTCCAGGCTGCCCTGCTGCTGCCAGTTCCCTGCTCATGTACCTGGGAAGGCAGTGGAGGATGTCCCAAGTATTTGAGTCCCTTCCAACCAGTGGGAGACCCCCCCCGAGATGGAGTTCCAGGCTCCTGGCTTCCACATGGCCCAGCCCCAGCCATTATAGCCATTTGGGAAGGTAACCAGAGGATTTAAGATCTTTGTCTGTCTCTCTATTATTCTGCCTTTCAAATAGTGAATAAATCTTTTAAATCATAAAATATTTAAACTATGCAGAACTGCTCCTGTGGAAAATGCCCAGCACCACATCGCTTGTAATTGATTCTGTCATTTTATGAGACCCTCTTGAGTCATGTCTCACTTTATAGCAGACATGCTCTGGGCTTTCCCCAACAAATAAATTGTGGAAGTCATCTGCAGTATAGGTGTTCAGATTTTCGTATCTGAGAAAAACGTTGCCTGGACCTGATGTTGTGACACAGTGAATGGAACTGCTGCCTGCAGTGCCAGCAGTCCATCCTGCAGTGCCAGTTTGCATCCTGGTTGCTCAGCTTCCAATACAATGTCATACTGTTGTGCCTGGGGAGGCATGGAGAATGTCCCATGTCACTCATGTGGGAGATCTGGATAGCACAGTGGACTCCTGGCTTTGGCCTGGACCAACTCTGGCCTTTGTAGGCATCTGGGGAGTAAAATACTAGATGGAAGATCTTTTAATCTCTTCCCCTGTCTCTGTGTAACTCTGCCTTTCAAATAAATAAGTAAATAAGACTGGTGATTGTATACCAGGAACATTTGTTTCTGTGACCAAAAACCCCAGTCATATCTTGCCAAGAGATGTGACCTCCTCCTCTGCTCTGTCTCTCGGAATCGCTTCCACCAGGTCCTCAGGAGCAGCTAGGAGAACCACAGGGTAACTGTCAGGTGTTGTGGATGAGTTCGGCAGGGAGACTTGCTTGCTGTGGACATGGGCCTAGGCTAGGTGGGGGGGGTTGCTGAGCAGTGAACAATGTCAAGAGTTCTGTGCTGCACTCAGTAACAGAGCAAGAAAAAGACAAGCCAGCCCTGCACCCACAAGTAGCAGGAAGGCCACCTGATGTGGGCTTGGAACTGCACACGTGCCACTGCTGGGCCATCCTCCCTGGTGGATGACAAAGCCCAAGAAGAGGAGCAGGAAAGAAATGAGAAGGGGAGTTTTGGCTTTCTTACTACTAGCAACCAAATCATTATGAAACAGTCAATTTAGAAATAGGCGAATGCCATAGTGCACTAATTCCTTGATGATGCCTCATCATTGCTCCTGCCCAAAATGGGCATAGAAATGCCCAAAATGTAGACCATGGAAATCCCCCCATTTTTCTTGTTGTGTCCCAAGATCATTTACCTCCATGAATCTACATAAGCAGCTATTACATTTGCCATCTTTCCTTTCAGGTATTTTTAAATTGCTCTGGGCAAGTAGACATTTATTATCTGAATCACTTGTAAGTGAAAATTTCAGTGGCATGAATTACTTGGCAGTGCTGTGTAAGCACCACCCCTGTGTGCCCCAACAGTTTTCATCATACCCAATCTAAACTCTGCATCTATAACGGAAGAACTTTACCTTCTCCTCCTTCCATCCCCAACTAATCTGTACTTCCAGTCCCTTTGAATTTGCCTGTTGTAGACATGTCATTGTAATGGAAACATACAGTGTTTGTCTTTCTGTGTCCACCTTATTACAGTGTCAGGTGTTACCATGTCCATCCCTGGTGTGGTATAAAACGTTCATTCACTTTTACATATTAAAACTCTTCCATTGTATTCATATACCACATTGTCATTACTCATCTGTTTGTTGTTGGATACTGGGAAATAACCCAGTTTTTGTTGTTTCTACTTTCTGCTTGCCGTGAACACTTAGGTACAGAGAGATACCTGCTTCATCTTCTGTTGTCCACTTTTTGGTGATACACAGAGTGTGACAGGGGGAGACTACCTCAAAAAAGCCAAAATAGGGGCTGGCACCGTGGCACAGTAGGTTAATCCTCTGGCTGCAGCGCTGGCATCCCATATGGGCACCAGTTCTAGTCCCAACTGCCCCTCTTCCCAGTTCCCTCCCCCTTTCACTTGAAGGACCTGTGAAGGTGAGCTTATTTGGGCATGGAGTCACTGGAGGATTATCCAGTTAATATGAATTCATATTGGACTAGCAAGGACTTGTTCCCATATGACTGGCATTTTTACAAGATGAGGAAACAGTTCCAAGATGGAAGGATGCCATGAAATAATGGGGGTAGAAATCCAGGTGCTATGGTAGGCACACAGGAGGCCCAGGATTTCCAGGAAACCAGCAAAAGCCGGGAAGGGACAGGAAAGATTAGTCCTGATGGGTTTCTGTGGGAGGGTGACTATGCATAAACCTAGATTTCTGACACCCAATCTCCAGACCTGTGGGAAAATAAAATATCATGTACTTCAAACTGACCACCAACCAGGCACTTGATTATGGCAGCCTGAGAAAATTATTATCCCTCAACTAACTATTTTGATTGGCGTGTAGAGACATTTCAGCCATGAGGGAAACACATTCTTCTCAGGTTCATGTGAAGAAGTCTCCAAGGCAGATCAAAGTATGAGCTCTGTCACACAACTGCTCACTTAAAGTAATGTATGTCACACAGCTTGTGCCACTAGGCAACTATGGTAATACAATAGAGTTCAATCAATGCAATGAAGATTACTTGGCAAATTTTGTAAGAACTATGGAAGCTAAATAACATACTCTCCAAAACAAATGGAACAAAGAAGACTGTATAGACATTTTAAACTATTTTGAACAAAGCAAATAAAAACCCCTTTTGCAACTTTGGGTTGCAATGAAGCAGTGCTCAGAAGGAAAATGGAGCCCTTGAGTGAAACACTTTCGAAAACAAGATGATCTAAAATCAATAAGGGATTCTTACAGCCCAGAAAATTAGATGACCAAAAGCAATCTGATGTAAATTAGATAAAAATGAAAAAATAGCAATTTTCTCAGAAATGAGTGTAATAGGAAATAGGAAATGGGCAGAATAAAACAAAAAATGAAAAAATATTTCTTTTAAAAAAATGCATAAGATTGTGAAACCTCCGCCTGTCAAAGCACAAGGCAAAAAGAGGAGAAACAATGTCTGCTACTGCAAATGAGAAGGGAATCCTCACCTTTCATGGCATGGACAGGAAAAGGAAAAGAAAAAAGTACTTTACATACTGTATGCCCACAAGTAGGTTCAACGAAGCCTGAAATTCCTTCAGAGTCAGAAACTACCCAAACTAACCCATGGGCCTGAGCCTTTGAAGACAACTTTTACAAAAGGCGAAAGAAGGTGTCAGGGCCATGTGGATTCATTGGTGAACTCCAGTCAGTTTTACCAAGAAAAATGTCATCCCCATCCAAGCAAGGGGCCATAGTCCTAGGTGTTTACCCAATTAATTTAAAAAACTTTGTCCCCACAGAACCCTGCCACATGACTGTTTCTGGTGGCTTTCTTCCTGATTGCTTAAATTGGAAACCAGGACCAAGAACATTGGCCCATCTATCCAAGGGGGTATAACTCAGTGATGAAAATCATTGAGCAATCAAGCCACAAAAAGGAGCAGGAGAGTTCTTAGATGTATGTTACTAAATCTAATTCCAACTCTAGGAAACTGAAAAAGAATGACTAAACAGATATTTAAAATGACCAGTTCTAGGGTCATGTTCTGGGGTCATTCAAGGGTTCTAGAAACATGGGTAAAGATGAATAACTCCTAGTACTATACCACCAGAAACAACCAACCTTAGTGCAGACTTGGGAGTTGAGTCAATAGTAACATTTCTTTATTGGTTCAGTCTCCATAACGAATGTACCCTACTAGTGGAAGTATCATCAGAAAAAGGGAAGTGGTAGTCCAGTATGAGAACCTTAGGAGCTATCTGTTCAGTTTTCCTATTTTATCTCCAATTGTTAATATTGGTGTGAAATCTGGTGGCACTCTCTCAGTAAGATGTCCATTTCAGCCATGTTGGACAATTGGGCAAACGTCTGAATAGTAGCTTAGATGTTACTACTAACAGTGACCCCAAGTTTAAGTTGTTAACATGTCTTCCCTGTGTAGTGGTCACCCTGCTGATTGAGTTGACCAATTCTAATTTTGCAGTCATGGAATGAAAGATACAGATAGCATAGCTTTTTAAGAGTTTTGTCTTAACTATGAGGCCCTGAATAAAGCAGAATCCTGATTGTTTAATGTGCTTCATGATTGATATTGCAGAGTACCTTCAACTGATTCCTTTGTTGGGGGCATCCTGTTCTTTGGCAAGACATGGATTTTTCCGGCCTTCTGTGTGGAATGGACAGTCGATGTACTTGACCTCCGACTTCCTTTTCGTCTAAAACTCTTTAGACAAGAACCTGGAACAGTATGACAATACAGACAGCTGTTGACATCCAGCTGGCAGGAGACCACAGGGAAGTGTATGATCATTGCAGTTCCTCACTTTCTTCCCAGTTTTCCCATTCAATAGTGGATCAGGTTGTTGAAAGGAGTTTGTGTGGTTCTCTCAGTACTGAATTGGTTAATACTGGGGAGAGTCACTAGAACACAAGCCCAACCCCTCTCCCTGTCTCTCTTCTGTCACTCTGCTTGCTCTTCTACTTTTCCACAATGATGGGACACAACATGGGACCCTTGATATGGGCACCTGATCTTTGACTGCTAGACTTGAGAATCCTGAGCTTGAGGGTCTTCTTTCTTTATAATTTACTCTGTCTCAGATGAATTTTTTAATGCCACAGAAAAGTTAATATCTGTTCTTCAGAGAAAGTGGCTGAGCAGTCTCAAATC